CACCTAACTCCCACTTTTGCCAACAGAACTTAGGCTCCTAAGTCACGTAGGTACTTTTGAAAATTCCCCCCAAATGCCTCTGGAGAGGGGTGTTCAGAATCTCCCAGGACTCAGACATGTCAAAAGAACATTAAGGAGGGTGATGAACCTAACTCACAACTGCACTGGATGGGATAAGAAGCAGCCCCCAATGTCCATCTGCACCTGGAGCTAAACTGATTTTATGGCTAAAGAGTTGCTTCTTGTTCTGTGAGAACATCTTCATCCATCATCGAATACATCCCTGTATGGAAAGTATGGAGAAAAGCTGGAATGGATCCAGAGGCGAGCGACAAAGATGATCAAAGGGATGGAATGCAGCCATATGAGCAATGGCTGGAAAAAGAGAAGATAAAGGTGGGGGACATGATAGTGATCTTCAAATCCTTGAATGGCTGCCACAAAAAAGATGGAGAAAAGTTGTTCTCTCTTGCCACAGAGGGCAGGACAAGAGGCAATGGGTTCACACTACAGCACAGCAGATTTAGATTAAATCTCAGGAAAAACTTCCTAACTGTGAGAATGAAACAGACACCTCGGGAGGTTGTGGAAGCTCCTTCACTGGAAGTTTTCAAAAGGAGGCTGGAGAGCATCGGTCTTGGATGGTTTAGCGGTTCTCAAACGGTGGGACGGGACCCCACAGTGGGGTCGCTAGGGCTGGTTTAGACTTGCTGGGGCCTGGAGCCGAAACCTGAGCCCCACCGCCTGGTTCCGCCGAGACTCAGGTTACGGGCCCTCTGCCTGGGGCTGAAGCCCTTGGACTTCGGCTTTGCCCCCCCCCCTCCTGCCTGGGCCAGTGGGGCTCGGACAGGCTCAGGCTTCGGTCTCCCCTCCTGGGGTCGTGTAGTAATTTTTGTTATCAGAAGGGGGTTGCGGTGCAATGAATTTTGAGACCCCCTGGTTTAGAAAGAACAACTCCTGCATCTTGGCAGCAGGGGAGACTAGCTGACCCTTGCGGTCCCATCTAACCCTGTGGCTCTAGGATTCTATGCCTATGTGGCATCTGCACTATGCGGGCATGGCAATATGTACAGAGAGAGGTTCTGCTGTAACTCTCAATGGCTGCCCACTGAGCTGGTTCTAGGTCTACAGGATCCTTCCCATCTTCCAAGTGAAGAGGAAAAGCTCATTTGAAAACCCCACATCCCAGTCACGATAGACCCAACACAAGGAATGCAGGATCAAGCCCCATATATTCAATAACTGTTTTGAGATGGGGTGTCAGGGAGGTTCCTAACGGGCTGATCCTGTGAGACCTTCACTCAAGTTGATGGCATCTCTCTCTTTGTCTGTAATGCAATAACTTTTGCACACGACATGCAATAAATTCCAAAATTTCAGGAAATATCATAGGCATCAGTGAGGGAAATCAAAAAACCTAAAGGGGAACAGTGGGGGACACATGGAGCCCCTGCTCTCCATTTAGCATACCAACAGCTTCCAGCAAAGCCACCTCTGTAACTGTCTAGATCAAAGAACCAGTTGATGTAGGGTGATCAGATAGCAAATGTGAAAAATTGGGATGGGGTGGGGTGGGAGATAATAGGCGCCTCTATAAAAACAAAGCCTGAAAATCAGGACTGTCCCTGTAAAGTCCAAAGATCTGGTCACCCTAAAATTGATAGCACTAATTCACACTTTCCAGTAGAATAATGTTCCTGTCTCATCTCTGCTCATCCCCACAATGGAGTGTAGCATGTTGACATCCTGAATGATTTATCTCCCAGTCAGAAAGAGGAGAAATAATAATGGTGGAGGAAGGGTCAACGGTCAGTCACAGAACTACTGTCTTAGGCGTTGAGTATGGGTCCCTCGGGAATAGGTGTAACTA